TGTGTGACATTAAAATGCATGTAAAAAGGGTTTATTGGTGCCGCCACCCTAATAATTTCACCCATTTTTTCCCCTTTGAAGCCTTTCTAACACTTTTTGTTAGCTGAAATAAAAAGAATTGTTATTCAATCATCAAAATTAAGAATTTGAGTACAGTAATATAACACTTAGCTTGGGGGAGTTTTTGAGGTGCTTGGTGTGATGATTGTTCCGAGGCTGGGGCATGGAGGCTACTGCGTCAAACCTCCACCCACTTCCATGGCCCCATCTCCGTCCCAGTCCCCACGCTGGTCTCTCGTACCCAGTTCACCCACTTCCGCTAACACTTCATCAAACCCCTCAAAGTCAAAATCATCAGGCATTTCCCCAATGTCTTCATCAACTTTCTATCACTTTTATCATTCATAGCTCGCCTCGCATTTCCATCACTAACGAAATATTTCTTAGCCAGCGCAATACTCTTTTTGGTCTTCTCTAAGTTCCTCTTAATATTTCGCACTGTAGACTCGGGACAGTTCAATTTCCTCACAATATCAATGTTCCGTGCACCACTTTCAATGAGTTTCAACAATCTGTTCTTTATCCTTGACCGAGTAGGCACGCTTTGGGGTTTTTTTTCTCATTCACTTTAAAAGTTTCCGGGCATTCAGGTGGCAAATCACTCCCTCCACCACCTCCCCTAGCCCCCACAGGCAAAAACGCAGAAGCCATTGTTGATCACCGACCCTAGCAACCGCTGGTTATAGAGGCAAAAATCTCAAATGTGGATGCAGCGCTGTATTCCATGGAGCGTCATCAACATGGCGGCAAACAAACGCTATCATTGATGCGCTTGGACGATTCCCACGAAATCTCCGTTATTCAAGAGAATCCACACGTTATTATCGAAAATGGGTATCTATTGTAACTTACCGTTATTGTGGAAGTCGTTATTGGCAAGGGCCTACTGTGCTATCTGAATTTCAACTCACCAAGGCAGCTTCACTCAAACCTTTTCAGCTCTCCAACTACAACCATTATACCTCTTTCTGTTCTTAGGGTGCATGCATCTACTGCAACACGCATACTCCTATAGTTCGACTCACATATGTTGAAACTTCTCTTTATGGTGTCATCTGGCTCAAAATATCTCTACCAACTATGAGCTTTTTTTCATATACTCTTCTGTTCTCCCAACCATATCAACAATATGGAACTCTTTGACTATCTCACTTTTTGTCATGAGTCATTACTATCCACACACCCCAACACTGTACAGTCCCCCCAAAAAGTATTGCTAGATTTTCTGTCGCTACAATTGGAATCACTAGATGAAATGATCTGATATGATCCCTAGTACATCATCATAGGATCTACGCTAATGAAAATAAAAATGAAATTTTTATTTACGTATTTTTGATGGCATATGGTGGTATTAAAAGTTGTACAATAAATGTATGGAATGGAGATTTTTTTTTTTAATTGGAGCCACTGATTAAATATATAAAATAAATATAAATATCTTACTTGCAACCGCTGGATTTCATCCAACGTCGCTGATTGGCTAGCGATGACATCACTTATTAAGCTCAGCCCACTTAGTTACATCAAAAAGAAAGAGAAAGGATCTATACAGATAATAATACCACAATATTACAAACGCATGAAGTGGCAAAAGGGGCGTGGCTTAGCGATCGCGAGAGTAGAGTTGCCAGTTACTGAATTCCTATGGGCCTGCGTGAGGCTACCTGTTATCTACCTACCTTGTTGTGACCAACTCACGCATCTGATGGGCGCACAACAAACTAGTTTCCTATACTGCATATATTATCAATATGTTAAATAAATGTTGAAATGACTCATAATTTTAATCTAAAACATGCAAAAATATTAAAGAGCACAACTTTATTGATATTTAGTCCATTGGAAACGAATGTAAACATAGAACAGATTACTGAATTAGCAGGGGTAGCTGATCAGCTGATGCTCACAACAAAACGTGATATTTGTAACTAGTTCCCTGTACTGCATATATTATCAATATGTTAAATAAATGTTAAAATGACTACTAATTTTAATATAAAACATGCACAAATATTAAAGAGTACAACTTTATTGATATTTACTCCATTGGAAACGAATGTAAACATAGAAGAGATCACTGAATTGGCAGACTAGCTCATCAGCTGATGCTCACAACAAAACGTGATTTTCGTAAGGATTTCGTTAATCAAATTTTTGTTCGTTAACCGAATTGAAGATTCTTATGGAAGGTAATTCGTTAACTGAAATTTCGTTAACCGAACCGTTCGCTAACCGAGGGACCACTGTACGCCTAATAAACTCAAAGTGTTTGTTTTTTATGTTTATTTGATATTATTCCCTTGTTTCTTTATTTATTTTGTTCTATAAATATTGAGTAAAACAAGTGTTAAAATCTGACGGCCGTGACCACCGCGATGCCCGTATCCCCCCTATTTACATTATTTCTTATGGGAGAAATTGCTCCGCTATTCACAATTTCGATATTCATGCCCGTAACCTTTGCGATAAGTGAGGCAGGCCTGTATAATCTGAAGCCTCAGAGGATTCATATCATTTGAAAGAGTATACTGTATATTCATTCATGCCCAAAGGTCGTGGATGTAGAATGACTAACCGTTCAGAAGCTTTTTTGGAGGACTGTACATCACAGAGAGTGCCTTGGCTCTGCAGTGGATGACCCAGGTAGAGTCTCTTTTCCTTATTTAATGATCTGGAACAAATAATTAAACACACTACACTTGTTCCAGATCGACACAACCTACTTGTTCACATTCTTGATCTTTATTTTACCTCTAACCCCTCACACTATTTATACTCAATTTCTGCCCCCTTAGGATTTTCTGATCACAATCTTATTTCTATTAAATCAAACTGGGCGCGACCAACTCTCCCACTCCTGTTTAAACGTCACCTGTGACAATATCGGAGGGCACACTGACAATTTTTGCAAGAAATCTTCTCTGGGATGAATGTTGCTTTTCCACTCAGGATGCCTTGGTATGTGCTGACAGCATTGCCAGGGTTATAATGGGTGGTATGAGTGCATTTATCCCATCTTCTACCAAAGCTTTCACTTTACTGTACAATCATGGGTTGATTGCTCCTGTTCTCTTGCATGTAGAGAGAGAGAGATAGGGCATATCGAGTTATGAAACTATCTCTTGCTGTTACTCACTCCTCTTCCATTGCTTCCAGGAATCGTTGTAAGTCTTAATAGGACTAAGTGGAACTTTATTTTTAAAAAAGTGCTGACCTGACTTTTAAAAAAGTGCTGACCTGACTAACTCTTCTTTTAGTAAATCTTTCTTGTCCTTAACCAAAAACATCTGGAATAACTTCTGCACTCCCTCTTTTTCTCCTCTTTTCCGACCTGATACCACTATAGCCAACACTCTCTCTAATAAAGCTAATCTCTTTGGCACCTTATTTTCCTCCAACTCTACCCCTCCTACTCCTCCTACTGAACCTATGCTCATTCCTATAATCTCCAATTATAGAGTTGATTGTTGGTAAGTTATCCAATATGGATGTGAGTAAGGAGCATAGACCAGACGGGACACCTTGTGTGCTGAGGTTCTGGCCCCTGTACTTGCTCGCCTCTTTCACCTTTGCCTCAAAACCTAAACTTTCTTTCTTCTTGGAAGCATACCTTGGTTCAGCCCATCCCAAAAAAGGGTTACTATTCTAATCCCTCTAACTATCGTCCCATTGCCCAACTTCATCCCTCTCTAAGATTTTTGAAACTATAAACTTCATTTTCTCTGTCGCCTTAAACGCCTTTCTCATTTGTTGGATCACCAGCATGGTTTCTGCCAGGCAAAATCTACTGGTGATCTGTTCTCTTACTGCACCCATCTTTGGTCTCTTAGGGATTATGGGGAAACCTTTGTCTGCCAGGCAAGATCTTTTGGTGATCTGCTTTCCTACTGCACCCATTGAGTTAAAAGAGCCGAGAAGGTAGAGGATCTGGGCGTGATAGATGAAAATGAATTGATGTTTGAGGAACATACACGACGAAGTGAACAAGATGAACTATTTGACAAACCTGATCCAGTGAGCGTTTCTGCTTCTTTGAATTAGAAATATCTTACAAAGTGTGGATACTTCAAACTGGATACTGTAGTTAGTAAAACAGTGTACTAAAAAATATAAAATGTGTATACTGTACTAAAAATCGTAGTTGGTTAGAGATAACTGCTGGTATTTCATCACTTTGTTGTCACTGTTGCACAGTTGTACACTCCACATTAATAAAATCATCATTTAAAATTCACTAATGTGTTTGATTCTTACACCACAAGTTATTTAATGACACAAGCTTTCCAACTTCACTACAAGTACTGTAATTAAAAGAAGGTCTCTGAACTCTGTATGATTATAGCAGGAATGGCTCAAAGTCTAGCAGTTCTCAGTGGTGTGTTCCTACTAAAATACTACATAGTTTAATGATGGTTTTCTTCTCATTAGTTACAGTGTGCACCAGCACAGTTTGGCCTTGGCCTGATTAGGTGTGTATGGTACTTTTGTTGTGTAAGTACAGTACAGTATTTAATTTAACTGCTACATAATGATGATGAATTTCATATTTGGTTTATTACTTCCTGACACACATGTCAGGGTTCTTGGGACCTTGGATTTTAAAGTCCCTAGATATTCTGACTGTACATGAGTTGCCTGATCTTTGCTGAACTATATATAAAATTGAATTTCAGGGCCAATCTCCAATTTTTCCCAATTCAGCTGAAGCTGTTTATTTCTTGTGATCTATTAAATCCTGTATTCCTGTCATATTTAATGCTGTGGTGTTAACACAACAAAGAGAATTACCTACAAAATAATATTAACTCTTCTTCAGTGTTGGCAAAGATGACATCAGACCAGGACTCATGTTTTCCCATTCTTCTAAACGGCAAGCAGAGATGGAGAAAAAGAAGAAAATTAAGGATGTTAAACAGCAAACAAAATTTAAGACCATGAAAGAGGTGCAGAAGGAACGATTAGAGGAAGGTCTCAGCACTGCCATTAGCTCTTCGAATAAAGGCTTCTCAATGCTTCAGAAAATGGGGTACAAACCTGGAACAAGCCTTGGAAAGCAGAGTAAGTCCCCATTCATCAAAGTTTTCAGAAAATTTGTTTGAAAGTCACCTTATTCAAATTATTGAGTTTAATGTATGGTTGTAATAGTCAGGCAAATAACTGTTTTTCCTCAGTCAGTGACTAACTAACTTATTGAACAGCTTAGTACTACCAGGCATACAATTAACTCAACACTAAAACAGCCTTGAATAATTCTAGACTACCTTTGTTTGGTGAATTAAATAGAAATGGTGCACTTTGAGTGATATTAGGGAGAGAATAATATTATGACAGGATATTAATTGGAGAACTGAGATGTATCACTAAGAATGTAAACTTTGAGCCAAGTTGAAGAAGGAACTGAGAGTTTGTATAATAGTTTATATCTTATCGCAGTGAATCATGGGCTAAGTAGGCAACAGTATGCTCTAAAATGAGTTCCTTGAGTGTGTATTTAGGATTAACAGAGTGAAAGGGGTAAGACATATCAATGTGAACTGGCTGTCCAGAATAGGGAGATGTAGAGGATGTAGATTGTGTAGTGGATTGAGTGAAGAGATGTTCATTTAGGTGGCATGGATATATGAAAAGGATGCAAGTGGAGATGATGGGAGAGTGGGTGTGCAGGAGCATTGGGTAGAGGATAACAGCCTACATTTTAGAAAGAAGAGGAGGAATGATGCATTAGGGAGAGAACAGGGGAGGGGAATAAGAGAAATAGATAATGCAAAGAAGATTTATTTTGATTGGGTGGCCTGGAGGATCTTCTTTGTGATTTCCCCCTTGGGGGCAGTGCACATAGCAGATAAGATAAATATCCTTGTTTATCATTATATGTCATATTGTCATATGATGCTGTCTTATGAGTTTATTTGAAGAGATTTCTCTCTTGCAGAGTCTTCCCAAGTCATGCCAGTCATCTTAGAGTGGTAAAGTGTGTTAATATTTTAGGATAGAAAAAAAAATCTTGTCCTGCTTGATATCTTCAAGGTTATACTGTACTGTACTGTATACAGTGCTATTAGAAATACTGAATGATCTGCATCACATCTGCTCTGGAATTATCTCAGGAGATCTTGCTACAGTACAGTGTATTATATTATGACGATATGTTTTTTTAATGGAAAATGGCTTTCGAATACAATAGATCTTCGATATTTGTGGTTTCTGTAGAATATGAAATACAGTTGTACCGCGCTTAACGCGGTTTCACTTCACGCGATTTCTCATATACGCGGTGCCTCGCCAGAACCGAACTTTCACTTAACGCGGTTCATCTACTCATATACGCGGTGAAGTATAATATTTTTTTGTTTTTGTTTTTAGCTCATAAAATTCATACAAATTACCCGGCCAGAATATAATTTACATTGCTGGAATTCTTACAATATGATGATCATTTTGAATATAAACATCATAGATTTTGCATTAGACATACAAATTTTAGATATATTGTTTACTCTGAGTAAATATGTTATCTTTTGTGCAAAATATATGACATTTATATTCAAAATATTCCTGGTCTTACAAGGAATCCAGCAATGTCAATTATATTATCCTAACTTTAATCTGAGTTATTATTTATTACTAAAAATGTAAATTACTATTTTCTCCTAAAGCTTCTCTGGTAGGGAGGGTTGGGACGGACCGACCACCTGGCGCGGCTGGAAGAGGGGGGGAGGCAAGGTGGGGTACTTTGATTGACAGATAGTGTCGTGAAGAATATTTTTTTTTTTATTAACTGAAGATTTTTGTTTTAGCTCATAAAATTCATACAAATTACCCGGCCAAAATATAATTTACATTGCTGGAATTCTTACAGTTTGATGATCATTTTGAATATAAACATCATAGATTTTGCATTAGACATACAAATTTTAGATATAATGTTTACTCTGAGTAAATATGTTATCTTTTATGCAAAATATATGACATTTATATTCAAAATATTCCTGGTCTTACAAGGAATCCAGCAATGTCAATTATATTATCCTAACTTTAGTTTGAGGTATTATTTATTAAAATCTAGTGGTTTTCCCCCAAAAATTTCTCAGAGAGGGAAGAGCCAGCAGTGTAGTGTGAGAAGAGGGGGACGGAGTCGAATCCATTATTTGAATGGACATTAACTTGGCGACTGTATTTCTCTATTTCTCTTAAGTATTAATTGTGTGCATGTACCATCATAAAATTAAGATGTTATTTTTACTACAACATACAGTCGACCCTCGTTAATTCGGACCCCTTTAATCCGGATTTCGGATAATTCCGACAAAATCTGAACGAACTTTTTTTCTTTTCTTTTTTCTTTTTAGGAATATTACCTACGCGGACCTTAAGCTAAAATGCTGGTCCACCCACTGCTGGGATAAAACACCAGCATCTTTTTGGTTAAATGTAACATCTCCACCACTAGTGTGGGGGGGGGGGGATGCAACTTTTAGCTTCAGACATGAAAAATATTTTCCATTTACTGCCAGTAAACAATGGAAACGTAAAATATGTACCAATTAGTAATGAAAAGTTGTGCAGTTCCTTCAGCAAATGAAGCTCACCAACTTTCAATAGGCTAAATTACCTTACAACGTGTTTTCAGTAGTCAATGTTGAAGTTCTTAGCATAGCCTAACTTATCATATCATATACGGTATCACAGTACTCATTGATCTACAAAAAATACCGGTAATAAAAACCTTTTCGATATTTCACACGTACTATAATACCCGGTAATCTACTTCAACCTCCTATTGTTTACAACGACGCATGACGCACCACCAGCTGTTGAGTATCAATCAGCTAGACGGTACACGTGTTTTTCGAATCGTTTTCAGTTAAAAAGCTGTTACATCACACGTATATTTTACCTAAACTGCGCCTGAATGAATATATTCTCGGAAATAAATAGTAGTTTTGCTGAAACGTGATGTATTTTAATGTAAAATAGGATAAAATACATGACGAAAACAAAAGATTTTACCTAACCTTCCGATGTTCAAGAGAAGTTACTCGTTTTTTTTAATAGTTTTTGGTTAAAATACTGTTATATTACAATGGTATTCTATTCATACTGTGCTTGATATAATACATTCACGGAAATGTAATATTTTTGCTGAAATTACATACGTATTACAGTGGAAAGTGCGATAAAATCGTGACGAAAACAATGACTTTCGCTTTCGTTCGTTCAAAAGATGTTACCGTAATCGCTTTTCGATTGGTTTTCAGTTAAAAAAACCCGTTGTATTACAATAATATTCTATCCTAATTGACTTGAATAAATACTACGATACCATATTTCTGAATATTTTTATTAAAATCCATGCAAATCATTTTCCTTGTCATCGTCTGCAGCACCAAACAGCTTCTCCCAGTCCTCTCCTTGAACAGGGCTAGAGGGTACGTGTTTTTCGAATCGTTTTCGGTTAAAAAACTGTTACACCACACGTATATTTTACCTAAACTACGCCTGAATGAATATATTCTCGGAAATAAATAGTAGTTTTGCTGAAACGTGATGTATTTCAATGTAAAATAGGATAAAATACATGACGAAAACAAAAGACTTTACCTAAGCTTTTGATGTTCTTGAGATGTTATTCGTTTTTTTACTAGTTTTCGGTTAAAATACTGTTATATTACAATGATATTCTATTCATACTGTGCTTGATATAATACATTCACGGAAATGTAATATTTTTGCTGAAATTACTTACGTATTACAGTGGAAAGTGCAATAAAATCGTGACGGAAACAATGACTTTGAAATATAATGCGATATTAACCCCTAAATCGGTTAATTCGGACAATCGGCTAAAACGGACACCCTCCCCCCCTATTAGTCCGAATTAACGAGGGTCAACAGTAGTTGTGTGTCGTCAAAAAGTGGAGTTTGGGGGTCGGGCCAGTCTCTATTGGAATTAATCCCATATGTTCTGTTGTTCACTTAACGCAGTTTTCACTTAACGCGGTACCCTGTGGGTTCAATTGACCGCTTAACCGTGGTACAACTGTACCTATATTCTGTAATAAAAATTTTTTATTTAAGATTTTGTGGGGTACCACTCTTGCATCAGCTTAGTATGCAGTACACCATTTAGAAAATTACTTGGTGCTCTGCCAGCATGCTTGGATTCTTGACTAATAATATACTGTAGAAATTGTGTGAAAATTAATCATTTAACTGCGATTTCAGCAAGACAACAAAGATTAATAATTTCACTTGGTTGTAAGTCAGTGTAAGCTGGGCCGTGTGGATTCCGGATCAGTGTGAGATCAATCTGCCTCAGTCAACATAAAATTGTGATGCTTCCATGTACAGTATATGTTATAAATTTGCGCTTTTTGCATTCGTAAATTTTTGGAGGATAGTGATTTGCAGTCTAGTGTGTCAGGTGGAGCTTGTAAGAAACTCAAAGATATGGAACTGTGAAAATAATATAGGTACAGTACTATTTTTTATATCATCGCGGGTGGATATTTTCATTTTTAAAACTTTGATGGAATCTTTCTGAAACATAAATTTTGCTCATTCATCACTGTCACACAGAAAGCCTCAGATTATTATTGTCAGCATCAAAGATAATTAAATAATACACATTACTTTCTCTTGATTATTATTACAGGTAGTTTTCCTGGGTTACAAACGGGTTACGTTCTTAGTCCCAGTTTGTAAATTGGAAGAGCGTTAATTACATAGTTTAGGTTATGTTAAAGCACAGCCTTGTCCTACAAAACAACAATAATATACCATACATAACAAATAATTTAAATACTGTAAATAACGTGATGTTAAACACTACAGAATAATGAAAGTACAATAAAAACCCTAATGCACCAAACTAATTGGGGCAGACCCCAGTCCGGGCAATGCGAAAGTTTGAAAAATGAATCTATGCGGGGGACGGGGGGGGGGGGGGGCTGGAAATAACACTTCTCATCTGCTCCAACAACTAAGGTCTTTAAGTACTTAACAAGGTTAGTAAAACACTATTACGTCAAAAATAAAAAAGAGAGATAAAAATCTCCAGGTTGAAAATCAGATTAAGTCTGATTGTCGACAACTGTTTTCACATATATAATTGTTTTGTACTGTAAAGTGTTATATGTAAGTACTGTAACTGCAGAAGGATGTGAACTTATCATCTCATCATGCTAAAAAAAAATTCATAAAGCATGTGCAAGAATACTGTATTAAGTGCTGGAGTGGTTTGGGAACTCACAGGACCTAATCTGGTGGAGAATGCATGGAATCAGATGAAACACATGTTGTTAACATGGAACACATTATCAGTACATTGCCTGCAGGAGAAGATCAAGTAGATCTGGATAATGAAGATATGTTGTGATTACAGTACCTGTAATTCCCCGAAATATTGGAATTCATGCCAAATAAACTTCAACTGGTGGCAAGATGAAAAATTAAACAAGTATTGAATACTATAATATGTTATGAAAGTTTTCACATGTTTTAGAGTGTTTTATATATCCTTAACTTAAATTTAGTTAAAGGTCCTTTTAAAAGGTTACAAAGATCAATATTTTTTGTAGACTTTGTACAGGAAATGATAATGTTTTTCCACATTGTATGTAGATATAGTACTGGGTACAGTACTCTTTTAAACAAGATCTTTCTCTTGAGTATAAATAAAGAATTACAGTGAAATGAAGCCAGTAACAGGATGCTCTTCTGCAACCTTTCCTCTAACCACACATTTAAAACATTCTCCAACTACTCAAATCATGCTTAGTATCCTTGTCAAAGTTCCTCATATTCAACTAAATTGATTTCGTCCTTGCTTTGGTGCTGTACAGATACAGTAGAACCTCTACACACTAGACTTCACTACACTGGAATTCTCTTTTTTCGCTATTTTCGGATTTTCTATTGTGCTTCGGACCACTCCTCTATTCATCTGAAATACTTTACAGTATTTAAAAAATTCAAGGATATCCAGCAGTAGTTGGGATGGTATGTGTGTTTGTACATGAGATTAAATGTTTGTGAGTTGGCGTCGCACACAGCACATGCCACAGTCCAAGTCTTGCCTTTATATGTATCATATCTGTGTGCCACACATCTCTACCACCCCTGTGTATATAAACAGGCTAGGGGTGTATGGGGGACTGGGCATTATCCTGTTCACCAGGATTCTTTC